GCCTTTCCCCCCCCTGAGAGCTTCTCCCTTTTCCTTCCCTAAGATCTTTTCCCCCCTTTCCCTGTTGGGCTTTCCCCCCTAAGTCCTTTTCTCCCAGATCGTCTCCCTTTCCTCCCTAAGATCTTCCCCCCCCTTTCCTCCTTAAGATCTTTCCCACCCTTTCCCTGTTGAGATCCTTTCCCCCCTTTCCCTCCCAAGGCCTTTCCCCCCCCTGAGAGCTTCTCCCTTTTCCTTCCTAAGATCTTTTCCCCCCTTTCCCTGTTGGGCTTTCCCCCCTAAGTCCTTTTCTCCCAGATCTTCTCCCTTTCCTCCCTAAGATCTTCCCCCCCCCCTTTCCTTCCTAAGATTGTTTCCCCCCTTTCCCTGTTGAGATCCTTCCCACCCTTTCCCCCTGAGGCCTTTCCCCCCCTGAGAGCTTCTCCCTTTTCCTTCCGTAGATCTTTCCCCCCTTTCCCTGTTGGCCTTTTTTCCCCCAGATCTTCTCCCTTTCCTCCCTAAGACCTTTTCCACCCCTTTCCCTGTTGAGATCATTTCTCTCCCCTTTCCCCCCTAAGGCCTTTGCCCCCAGATCGAGAATTTCCCCCCTTTCCCCCCTAAGGCCTTTCCCCCCCTGAGATCTTCTCCTTTTTTTTCCTAAGATCTTTTGCCACCTGTCCCTGTTGAGATCCATTCCCTAAGGCCCTTTCTCCCTCTGAGTTTTTCCCTTTTCCTCCCTACGATGTTTTCCCCCCTCTCCCGGTTGAGATCCTTTCCCTCCTTTCCCCCCTAAGGCCTTTTTTCCCCCCGCGATTTCTTCCTTTCCTTGTTGACATCCTTTCCCGCCCTTTCCCCCCTAAGGCGTTTTCCCCCCCAAGATCTTCTCCCTTTTCCTCCCTAAGATCCTTTGCCCCCTTTCCCTGTTGAGATCCTTTCCCCCCTTTCCCCCCTAAGGCCTTTTCCTTGCCTGGGACCTTCTCCCTTTCCTCACTGAGATCTTTCCCCCCCTTTCCCTGTTGAGATCCTTTCCCCCCTTTCCCTCCCAAGGCCTTCCCCCCCCCTGAGAGCTTCTCCATTGTCCTTCCTAAGATCTTTTTCCACCTTTCCCTGTTGGGCTTTCCCCCCTAAGTCCTTTTCTCCCAGATCTTCTCCCTTTCCTCCCCAGGATCTTCCCCCCCCCCCCCTTTCCTTCCTAAGATTGTTTTTTCCCTTTCCCTGTTGAGATCCTTCCCACCCTTTCCCCCTGAGGCCTTTCCCCCCCTGAGAGCTTCTCCCTTTTCCTTCCGTAGATCTTTCCCCCCTTTCCCTGTTGGCCTTTTTTCCCCCAGATCTTCTCCCTTTCCTCCCTAAGATCTTTTCCACCCCTTTCCCTGTTGAGATCATTTCTCTCCCCTTTCCCCCCTAAGGCCTTTGCCCCCAGATCTTCTCCCTTTCCTCCCTAAGATCTTTCCCCCCCTTTCCCTGCTCAGATCCTTTCCCCCCTTTCCCCCCTAAGGCCTTTCCCCCCCTGAGATCTTCTCCCTTTTCCTCCCTAAGATCTTTTGCCACCTTTCCCTGTTGAGATCCATTCCCCCTTTCCCCCCTAAGGCCCTTTCTCCCTCTGAGTTTTTCCCTTTTCCTCCCTACGATGTTTTCCCCCCTCTCCCTGTTGAGATCCTTTCCCTCCTTTCCCCCCTAAGGCCTTTTTTCCCCCCGCGATCTTCCCCCTTTTCCTTCCTAAGATCTTTTCCCCCCTTTCCTTGTTGAGATCCTTTCCCGCCCTTTCCCCCCTAAGGCGTTTTCCCCCCCAAGATCTTCTCCCTTTTCCTCCCTAAGATCCTTTGCCCCCTTTCCCTGTTGAGATCCTTTCCCCCCTTTCCCCCCTAAGGCCTTTCCCCCCCTGAGATCTTCTCCCTTGTCCTCCCCAAGATCTTTTCCCTTGGTTGAGATCCTTTCCCCCTTTCCCCCCAAGATCTTCTCCCTTTTCCTCCCTAGGATCTTCTCCCACCTTTCCCTGTTGAGCTCCTTTCCCCCTTTTCCCCCTAAGGCCTTTTCAGATCTTCTCCCTTTTCCTCCCTAAGATCCTTTGCCCCCTTTCCCTGTTGAGATCCTTTCCCCCTTTCCCCCCTAAGGCCTTTTCCCTGCCTGCCTGTTGAGATCCTTTCCCCCCTTTCCTCCCTACGGCCTTCCCCCCCGAGATCTTCTCCCTATTCCTCCTTAAGATCCTTTGCCCCCTTTCCCTGTTGAGATCCTTTCCCCCCTTCCCTTTAAGGCCTGTCCAGATCTTCTCCCTTTTCCTTCCTAAGATTGTTTCCCCCTTTCCCTGTTGAGATCCTTCCCACCCGTTCCCCCCTCAGGCCTTTCCCCCCCCTGAGAGCTTCTCCCTTTTCCTTCCTTAGATCTTTCACCCCTTTCCCTGTTGGCCTTTTTTCCCCCAGATCTTCTCCCTTTCCTCCCTAAGATCTTTTCCACCCCTTTCCCTGTTGAGATCATTTCATTTCTCCCCTCTCCCCCCTAAGGCCTTTGTCCCCAGATCTTCTGCCTTTCCTCCCTAAGATCTTTCCCCCCCCCCCCCCTTTCCCTGCTGCCCCCCCTTTCCTCCCTAAGATCTTTCCCACCCTTTCCCTGTTGAGATCCTTTCCCCCCTTTCCCTCCCAAGGCCTTTCCCCCCCTGAGAGCTTCTCCCTTTTCCTTCCTAAGATCTTTTCCCCCCTTTCCCTGTTTGCATTTTTTCCCCAGATCTTCTCCCTTTCCTCCCTAAGATCTTTTCCACCCCTTTCTCTGTTGAGATCATTTCTCCCGGAACGATCTCAGGGAGGAAAGGGAGAAGATCTGGGGAAAAAATGCCTTAAGGGGGAAAGAAGGGAAAAGATCTTTGGGAGGAAAAGGGAAATAGATCTTTGGGAGGAAAAGGGAGAAGAACTGAGGGTGGGAAAAGGCCTTAGAAGGAAAAGGGGGGAAATAAAGGATCTCAACAGGAAACTGGGGGGGGGGAAGATCTTCGGGAGGAAAGGCAGAAGATCTGGGGCAAAAAGGCCTCTTTCCCCCTTTCCCCCCTTCATGTCCTTCACCAGCATGGGCAACATCCCCAGCATCACTTGCATCATCCGCATCCTTGGCAGGCGCTGATGCGGATGATGCAGGTGATGCTGGCGATGTGCCGCTGCAGCTGCTAAGGATGCGAAAGCGCACCCGGGGGGAATCGAACACCCCAATGCTTTTGACAAACTGAGTTGCGCAAGCCCGCACAATGAACAGATTTAGTAGCGTCTTCGAATCACCGCGCGGTACGTGGACCCCTTCCGGGTAACAGGTAAAGAGGTAAGGAGCATTTTTTGTGTCCAACACACCGTCTGTTGTCGGCGGATTTGGTTTTCAGGCATGGGTTTACGGTTGTTCTTCCAAAAAGTTTTGAGCTTGTGAAAATTATGAAACATGAGAGAAGTTACCATTCACCCTTCATCATCGACCGTCTTTCCAGGGAGAGCTCGCTTGCCAGGTCCGGTGGTCGCTGGCGCAGGCCTTGGGCATTCTTTGGGGCCTGGAACTCCAAGTGCACCTGGCGATCTTGGACCGCCCCGCTGACCCAGGCAACTCTTCGTGTTTTTGTCTTCCCCCCACTTTTTGTTTTTTTGTTTTTAGCAGTTCCTGACTCTGCCCCGTCCCCAGGCAGTCGTCGTCTTGCCGGGCTGGTCGCCGTTCGCTTCCACGCGCCCTCGGCCTCGTCAGAAGAGTTGGAAGAGCTTGAGGCAGAGGTGAGGGTCCAACTAGAAGAGCCTGGCTTCCCGGCAGTCCACTTTCTTTTCGCAGAGCTTGGGCCCTCAGGGCTTTTGGGTGGGTTCAGGGTTAAGAGTTCATAGGCCCTGCCCGGACACTCCCTCCCCTCCCCCTCTTTCCGGATAAGTGATGCCCTCTCGGCGTCTCTTGGAATTTTTCGTGGGCTCCCAGGCTTTGCATCGGACATGATGAAGCGGATGAACCATGCGCTCCAGGAGCTTCCCAACGCGTCCCAGTACCAGATCATGTCCATTCAAAACCTTGAGGCAGAAGTTACTCTCCCCTCGACCTCTTCAGAGACTTCGGAGCACGCTTCGGAGTCTTCGGAGCCCAGTCCTTCGGGAGCGGGTCTGGAGCTGGTTTTCGGTGCTGTCGGTGCCATCTTCTTCTTCATTGTGGGCATGTGCTGCATGCGCGCCTGCTCAAGGCACGAGAAAGTGCAGCCACAGCCACCTCCTGCCATCTCGGTGCCTTGCCCTGCGGGCGAAGCTAAAGAGCTGCCCATGCCACCAGCGCCAGCAGACCCTCCGGCGGTCCTCCAGAGCTCTTGTGAGTGGGTCGGGTCCGAAATCTGAACCTTGAATCATTGAATCACCCATCGAATACATTTGTCTTCTCAGCTGTTGACTGCGTTTGGTCATCAGCGACTTTTCGCTTACGCAAGTTTGTCGCCCTGGGATCTCCCGGGACCGCATGCCAAGTGTGCGGCTCACTGGGCTGCCCGGGCGACGGAGCTTCAAAGACCTTTCGGGGCAACTGCTTTCTCCGCTGATGGATCGCAAGAAAATCTCGGGCGGGCGCTTGGCACATTGGGGCTCGAGATCAGAGGTTGCTATGCTGCACTGCTACGCTATACAGTGCTAATTATACTCTACTAGGCGTTATTTAGGCTGCACTATACTCACTCATACGCTATATTATGTTCCACTTTGTGCATTGTATTCTCTGGTGCTGTAGTCTCTTCATACTGTGGTGGCGTCGGCTTTTTGGCTGGCTTTTGGCTGGGTTTAGCTGGCTTGGACCCTTTTTTTCCCTGTTTTTTTAGCTCGCCTTGCAGAAACGCAGCTACGGGGCATTTTCTTTTTAGAGACCCCCCCACCCCCCAATTTTTTGGGGGTTGTGTTCCTTTTGGCTTCCCGGTTTACTTGGATGTACTCATGGTAAGGTCTCAAGCAGCAACTTTGAGACAATTCCAAGGGCTCCTATTGGTGAAATGGCAATGGACCGTGGAATACGGTGGGTCTAAAGGCACACGATCCTATGCCTAGGCGCTGCCGTTGAGTAGACATGGGTGGACCAGCTGTGCCAGACTCTGCGCTAATGCAGCCAAGCAGCCAAAGAGCGGCTTGTGCCAAACCTTTGTCTTGGAAAAGTGCGTTTCGACAACATGTTGGTATTTTCTCTAGTGCTCCATTATTCCACGTGGGTGTGCAAAACACCAGCGAGGGACTGTTGCACTGCAGATGAGACGGTGCTATTGTTTGACTCGTCTTGGATCAAGGCTATGTGCTGGACTTTCATTTGCAGCACTGCATGAGATCGCGGAGGCATGGTACAATGGGGCTGTTTTGTGGATTGGCTAGTCGACAGAGGCTTGCAGGGCTCAAGTGATGATACTTGCCACGTGGCCAGCCTGACCCGTCTCCACAGCAAACATAAAGGCATATCCCGCATCTGATTCAAAAGACCCGGCCCAAGACTTCAAGCATGCATTCTACTTTGCCCGTAGCCGTGTTGATTGAAACGGCTGCCAAATCCAAGTCTTTGCGGCCTTTCAGCTTTGCGCTGCGAGCCTGCAGCCTTTGCTATGGCACATGTCCGGCGAGCTTTGCAGCAATCATCGCGACTGTGGTCTGCGCGTCAGGCGGCACTGGCATCAAGATGGTCTAATGCCTTCCCGAGTTTCCAGGTTCATGAAACCCGACATTCAGCAACTCAGCTACATTTAAAGCCTTTAACCTTTTGGCCTCTTGGACAGGATCATTTCACCACTAGTAACGTGTTTAACCTTGGTCTAAGGAAAGGCCTGTGGAGGCTGACATGTTGTCAATGCTCGCTATCGGTTCTGTTGTGGGCACAGTGACTGTGACAGCCGCGTGGCTCCTTCGGCGTCCTCAAGATGCGCCGATCTTGGCGCGCATCTCGCCCAAAGATCTGCAGTACCTGTGCGAAGGTCGAAGTTACTTGGCTGCTCTTTGGTCGGATCTTCAGACTCATTTTTCGGCGCATGAGTTTTCCCACGCGGCAAGTTGAACCATGTGGGGGGGACGAATTGGCCACGCAGGCTACGTCTTGTGCAAAAGCAAAGACGGCCTTCTGCAGCTCAAGAAGCAAAGTGCGGCCAGCTGGGAGCAGCACGTGCTGTTGCAGCGTGCATTGGCGCGTTGGTTCCCGGGAGCTGTGTCGGTTCCGCAAATTCTGCGCGTGCCTGCGAGCGATGTCCGAGCTCTAGATGCCCAGATTTTGGCTTCCAGGCACAATTTGTTTAAACCAGTGGCGCTCTTTCAAGATAAACCTAGTAAGGGGTGGTCCCAGGCATCCGCCTTTTTGGCTCTTTACATGGTTCTGGGTAGACCATTTTAATGTCAGGTTTAGATTATGACTCAAATGGGTTGTTTAGGCATAGGTGTTTCAACATGTAAGGGGCTGAGTCGCCCGATGTTTCAGGCCAGCAGATCAGCGGAAGCAGCGCTTGGACCTTTCTGCTGATGGGACTGGAGGGGTCCAAAGGGTCCAGGTGCTGCGCAAGGAGGATTTGCTGTGCGCAACTTGTTCCTTGGAGCCTTGGTTGCTTTTACTACAACCTACCTTTTGACCTTTTGGACACTGGCAGTTTCAGCAACAGTTGATCGACCTTCGACCTTTTGGAACATGAGTGTTTCTCTACCATCACATAACTCTTTGGATGGGATCAGGAGTTGTGGCCTGGCTGCGGAGTCCGCGAGATGGAGGGCCTGCCCTCCAGACATGCTATGATGGGCCCGGCTTCCAGCCGCGACTTGAACCTGGAGCTATTCTCGGACTCCTGCGCTTCGGCGATTTCCGCATCGCTGCAAGGCAGGCTTGGACCTTGTTTAGACATGCTCTTCTCTTTCAAAAAGAAGGGTACCCTTAGATAAGGGGAAAGCCCCTGGGTGAGCCGCCGTTGTCTACATAACCTTGTTTCGGTTTCTCGGTCCATTTGTTTCAACAAGTTTCGCAGGCCAAAGCTCTTTGCACTGCGAGATTTTCGCAGAAGCGACTCCTGTACTGGGAGATGCTCAGAAGTTCCAAGAGTTCATGCAGCAGCTGGGGGTCTCAGTCGAGCAGCTGTCCAAAGGTGCGGCGGCGGTGCTTTCCAACCCCCTCAAAGAGCTGAAAAAGCTTCAGGCGGGGGTTGCAGGCTTTGTTGAAACAAGCTTTGGTCCCCTCAATGGGGCAACAGCGACAAAGGCAGCTTTAGATGCGAACCCAGAGAACCCTTTGAGGGGTTGAATCGCAGGCGATGGCAGCAGGCAACGCGGAGCGCTATGCTGGGGAGATGCTGACTCAGCTGCACGTCCGCGGTGGTCAAGCTGCCGTGGACGCTGTGAATGGCACTCCGGTGCTCGAGCAAGCGATGGCGAGAGCTTCAGGCCGGATCTTTTTGAACATTGTGAACTGTTGCTCAAATCTACAGTTTTCATTACCCCAGCACTACAGCCAGGGAGAAGCAAGGTGAAGCTGTGAAAAGTGACTAGGCTATTTTTGTATACCCCCCTTGTTTCCCTTCGGGGTAGCGGCTTGGGAGTAGTGGAATCCACCTGAAGTTGGGGTAAAAGTTTCCATTTCCGACCCAGTGATCAGTAAGAAACAGATGGGTTGCGGCAACCAAGATGAGAAAGGGAGGGAAGGGAAGGACATGGGCAGAAAGGAACGGTACGACGGGAAGCCAAGTGCGGAAATAAGTGGACACAAGGCATGAAACCTGCACGCACACACCCAAACATAGCAAAGAATACGAAGCCGTGCTAAGGGAAGCGAATGGTGTTGAGTGCTGGGGAAAGTGAATGGAGTTGAGCCTAAGGGAAGTGAGTGGAGTTTAATTAAGCTAGGGAAAATAACATCTTATGACTGTTCAGTGTCAGAAGCACCAACAACCAGTTCGAATCGTTCAACCAGGCAAGATACAGTGCAGCATTGGGCCATTGGTGGAAGGCTCCGCCTTGGACCAAGCATTCACAGAGGGCCAAAGCAGCAAGTTGTGTTTTTTGGGCCCTGCGCCCACAAAGCGAAGTTGAAAATGACAATCCGAAATGCAAACCAAGCTCCAGGCCCTAAAAGCACGTCAACGAGTAGCTATCATGAAAGCAACCGCGTGCTGCCAATCCCTTGGCCGAAAACCGAAATTCTGGAGATGCATAGAAACGCCCTGAGCCGACAAGCCTACACCCTATGTATGGTTACATTCCAGTAGACGAACTCTGAGGGCTTCACCTGCATGGTCAGGTGGTCAGAATTTGACATCGACACTGGCGTTGCACACTCCCAAATGGCAAATGTGATAGTCGTTCTATGTGACTGCCAGGAGCCAGAGATAGGGAGCTATGATATTGTTTTGCAACTTGAGCTGGCATTCTGCGATGTGGCCGAAGAACTTTCGCGAAAATCAAGGGCCCTCCAAAACGGACATCCTCAGATGCTTAAACTGAACCATAAGTCTAGAACATGACGCCGAGCCATAAGTCTTGAAGCCCTACAACTCTTGTGAGGCTGGACAGACGATCTTTGCGCACGAGCCTAGGATTTCATGCTGTATTTCGGAGGCGCACCAAATTGAGAGCCTAGGCCTCCCGACAAGAGCAGGAAGCGGTGAAGCTTCTGGCGAAGTCAAAGTGGAACAAACGGCAGGCCCATCCAGCACTATGTCTTCCCGCGGTGCAAAGACCCCTTGCAGTTGATATAGACTGGGCTGTTCCAAGGCTTACCTTGGGTTACGCAAGGAATCAGTCTCCTTAGTGGCTTTTCAATAGGGGTCCTGGAAAATCGCATTTGCCAGCACTCCATTTTGATCAGCCCAGTTAAAGATGTTGAAACACCTATTGTTGCAACAACCTCCATTTTCGTTCCCGTCTAAAGGTCAGGATCTGGTTACACACTTCGCCCAACCGGATAGATGGCCGTCAACCGCTTGGGTGTAGCCAATATGAAGATTCCCATTGGAGCCATGACAGGTTGAGGAAGCACAGCGCCGCGACCTCAGCTCACGACAGGGCACCCTTGGGTGTCCCTTGAAAGCTACCGAACCACATCAACACCATGTGGTTATTCTTGTAACGGTTTGAACCCCTGGTTCCCTCATTATCAGTCCCAATGTAAATGATGTCCACCAAGAGCCCGCTAATTGGCATTTGCAGCCATACATTGAAACATCAAACATGGACACGTAGTTGCATGATTCAACATGCCGCCATTTCATGCGTGCCATGTTGCAGCCTGGGTGGCGTGACTCCAGACGTCTTTCATTTCGGTTTATTGGATTTGAGGGCTGATTGAATATACCTAGTGCTGCCACAGAAAGAGGCTGCATAACGTGGCATGAACATGAGCCCAGCGCCAGGATGGTTGGCACTCTTCCTGCTGGGCCGTGCAGCCTTCCACGCAAAGGTGCTGGTCAACTTTACTCAGGAGGGCCGTGCACGCAATTCCAGTCTTGTGCCAATTGAATGCCATGCGTGGTGAATCTGTCGATTTGGCCTGCACTCCAAGAGGGCGCCTTGATCTTGCCTAGGATGCTGCAAATTCGGGCCGGCACGGGTCTCGGGGGTGCAACAAGTGTTTGTTTTCGAGGGTTGCCCTTTTCACCATGTTTGGGTTTGCATTCAAACTCATAACGATTCATGTCTTTCCGACCGGGATTTATCCAGGCATTCTTTGGGCTCAAGCATATCACGCATCCTTTGGGCCATTGCAGTCAAAAGGATGGCGAAGAAGGCCACGTGTGTGCAGTGGATTTTTGTTGACAGCGGGGACCGGGTGGGCGAGTGAGACGAGTGGGCTTGACCAGTTGCTTCGCTTTTTTGCTTGAGGCCGTGAAAAAGCCATCAGCGAAAAAGGTTGCAATGAAGAAGACAAAAGTTAAGGCCAAAGCTGTCAGGACCTGTCGGGACTGATTTCCTCCGCGTTTCGTTTTGGGGCTCTGGGAGCTTGCGAGGTGATTGATGTCCTTTTGGCAGGAAAAGCCCAGTTGGCAACTTCAAGATTCGCATCGGCATCATTCATGGCAAGGCAGGGGTCATGCGTTCGAGGTCTTGGTTTCTTGAAAGAGATGGGCTGGGGAATTTGTGTGTGTGTGTGTGTTTTCTTCTTTTTTTCTTCTTTTGTGTTTTTTTTTTTTTTTTTTGTGTGTGTGTGTGTGTGTGTGTGTGTGTGTTTGTGTGTGTGTGTTTGTGTGTGTGTGTGTGTTTGTGTGTTTGTGTGTTTGTGTGTTTGTGTGTTTGTCAGCGCTTTTGAAGTTATGGAGATCGAAAGCCGGTTTGTCGGAAACACACACACACACACATGGACCCTGTGTTTTCAATCTCCTGTTTCGAAGTCATCATGGAAAAACGTGCTTGTTGGAAAAACGAGTTGGGTTCCCAGCTTCGGGTCGTAGTTCCTGTTCAGGTCTTTGACCCCATCAAGGTCGGAACGCAAGACAGGCATTATCCGGCGCCTTGCAGCGAAAGAGCCGCCGCTCACATCGACCTTTTTGAGCATGACCCGTTGGGTCATGTCCATGGAGCATGGGACATGGTTGCCAGAGGTTGGGGGCTCACGAAATGTCCAAGGCCCGGAAAACAGTACCCAATATACCCCAATAATTATTGTATTCGAAGATTTTGCTTGCAAAATGTTCTGAGGAGCACTTGAAGATCAAGAACAACACTGGCCCAAACGCTGACGGATGGGGTGGGCAGTTCATGGCAGATGTTTCCACAGGTGCGGACGGGGGGCGAAGCAGGGGGCCCACATCCATTAAGGGGTATACAATTCCCATGGTTGCCCTTAAGTGGTAGCTAGACAGTAACTCAAAACAGCGGATGGGGGGGGGCTCATGATTTCTAACTATGCGTGGGGATTCTCTGGGAGGTTTGAAGATGATGAAGTTGCACCCCGACATCTTCCACGTGGACTTCATGACCCAGGAGCAGGTGAGCAGCTGACAAAATTACTGCCAAATTATATCGATTGATGCCTATTCTTGCTTTGGAGCACGTGGCCCCCCGATTTCCCACGAAAGCCAGACCCACTTTAGTTACAACACAATGTGCTCCATTTCCAAAACTGGCAGTTTCACTCAACACTAGATAAACTTTAGAAGTGGAAATCCAGTGACCCCCTGACTTTGGTCGCTTGCCGGTTCGAACCATGTTTCAAGATTTTCAAGCATAGGCCACTGAGAAGCGGTTGGCGAAGAACCACCTGACCTTCGACTTCTGGGGTGATGTGAGCATCGCCCTGATGAACGGCAAACCTGCTCTGGCCAGAAGGATTGGATCGGCTATGGCGAAAAAACATTTGACCCATCTGTTTTTACGATGCCGACGCCCCAAAATGGATTTCGGTGTTCCTTTTGTTTCCCTTTAAAACCACCAAAAAGGGTACTCAACAAAAGACCAACCCATTGATGTAGTGGTGATAGATTCCTACTTTGCTATAGTGGATATCGACCGAAGGATTCAGAAGATCCAGAAGAATCCCAACTTGCGGCATCACCCGGGCTGGGACTACTACGAGTGGGTCATGCACAAATCCCGGTACATGAAGCATTGCCAGAGCTAAGCTTTCGGCTTGCCCTTTTGGGTTTCCTTTGTCTTACGAAGGGAATGACCTTCCGGGTGCCGGCAATGAACCTAGGGATTCCCTGAATGGAAATCATAGGGATGGTTTATGCGGGTGATTGCCACCAAGTTTGGGGGTGTTCACCTAGCAACAAGTCTCTACTGTTTGCCAGTCGTCCCAAGGAAGCAGTGCAGCAAAGCCGGCATCCCCATGATTGACACCATTCACGTGGAGAAGGGCTTCAACGCCAGAGAGGTCCTCAAGAAGATCGTGGCCAAGGGGTGGGACAAGTTTTTTGTGAAGCCGGGGTACATGAGCTTTTTCGGTGCGGGAGTGATCAATGGTAGCCTGGCTCGAACAAGGCAGATGGATTGTCTTTGGCTGCATTGCGCATAGCCTTCCAGAGTCAAGTGCTAGGCAAGACCCAGGATTTCGTGGACAACATTGAGCCGCTCTTGCAATACGAGGCTGAGAACAAGCACCAGAAGGAGTGGCTTGAATGCACATGCCTTGCTGGTTAGTTGTTTTCCCCCGCGCTCTGCTAGGTTCCTAGTTCAGCCTTACATGCTGAAGCCCAACGGCAACGTCTTCGATGAGATCCGGAACTTCTTCATTGATGGGGAATGGGCCTATTCGGTGTACACAGACGGGGTGGACTATGATGGCTTTTGGGAGCAGCCGGAGGGCAAATTGAAGGAAGCCTGTAAAAAGCTTCTCGGACTTGGGTGAGGGCAAGCCTTCAAAGTGACATATGTGCCGAAAGACCTCTTTACTTGGGGTAGGAATGGGACTTTAGACAACCCATGCAAAGGTTCCTATTATATAAGGGAACCATGACCATGACTCACATTGGGAGTGATGCTTGCGCGTCTCAGGTTGGCCATTCGCGTCATGGAGCAGATCAAGAAGGTAAACAAGTGGGAAGGAAAGCCCATGAACACCTTGTTGAATCGGATTGACATCGGAGTGATCCCTGACAAGTCCAAGAAGGATGGCTTCCGGATCTTTGTCAACGAGATTGAGCCGCAGATGACCACTTGGCTGGGCAGATACTGCCCTTTTGTCATCCAGGACAGAATGGCAGAGGCTTGTGTGAAGCACGCTAGGGAGATGCTCAAGAGAAGCTTGGCAGCTCGCCGCAAGATGCCTTCGCCGGACAAGGTCCGAAAGCTGTTGGCCATTTTGGATGAGCGCCTGGATGATTGAAAGCACAAGGTGCAATACCTGTGAAAGGGCAAGGTTAGTAGAATTCTGAAAGAGCTGGGCCATTGCGTGATGCGGATGCGCTTGAAGATGGTGATGCGGGGGATCTCTTTAGCTGTGCCCAACGGTTGGCAACAGCAGGTCAAGGCACTAGTGGCGCACCACTCCGCTCAGGGGATGAACGAGCAGAATGGCACTGCAGCCTTCCATGTGTCACCTGCTTTGATTGCAAAAGAGGAAAAGACGGTTTGCTTGCGATGCAGCTTGCACGTGCCGATTGGGCATGTATATAGGTTATAGATCTGTGCATCTTCCCACTACTTGTGAAAGGAGAGTGGTCCAAACCAGGACCCCCCGAACGTCAAGTTCCATGTTAAGTCCTGCATGCAGAATCCCCATCGAGGTTGCAGCGCCTGTCAGATCTTTTGCCCGGTGAAGGCGGGGGAGGAATTGATTTCGGCGCAGAAAGTCCGGCAGGACCACAGAACTGAAGCAAGAATACGCAGGCAAATAGGCAAAGCAGCCAAACTCGGCATTTGTGAAACAGGACAAGCAACTTGACCCAATATTCTTGCGCACTTGGGCGCAGGTTGGGCTTCCGGTTGGTGGGCCGGGCTCCCGAGTTGCCATGAGTCTGGCGCTGAGCCAGTGACTGCTTTGAGGTTCGAGCCACGGTGGTTGGTCCAGCACTTGGAGCGGTTTCTCAGGTCCGACCCTCCCAAGCAAAGCTAGGGTTTGGGTTTAGACAGTCCCTCTTGTCATCCCCTGAAAAACGGAATTGGGGGAGGTGACCCGGGAATTCTATGTATGGTGCCTTTGTTCCTTGAATGGGGAAGACTAGATACATGGAGTTGGGGAATCCCCTTCCCCCTTCAGGCAGGGGGGGGATCTCTTGTCCACGTTGATTGTTGGAAAGAGGGTACTTGTACAAGTTTGCAATTGAATGCCGAGGCATGGAAACCAATATCCTCGAGGTTGATCGCAGCAGTGGGGAGCTTGAGCTGCTTGCTGCCAAGTACAGAGAGGCCTGTGTGGAGTTCGCAACTTTCGCGCCAATGGGTCTGCTTTTTTGAGGGCACCCATTTCAGGTTGCTTTAATTGACCACCAAGGGGGAAACTCTAGTTTGATACATGCCCAAGTAGCCGCATGGCTGCGCGCGTTTTGGTCTGCCAGGCCACGGTGAAGTGACCAAACTGGTCGGATGCCTCACTCGCTTCCAGCGAAAAACCACGCGTGCTTACACGCCTCTTGCACGTGAAGCATGCAGTCCTGAGCACTACGCGTTGTTTTGAGCTCTTGCTCGTGCACCGCGCTCTCAAGTTGCCCTGTGGGTTGCAGGATGGGCAAGTGGCAGCGCAGGGCTTGCCGGCCATTTGCCGCGCGGCTGAGGAAGCATTTACCCAAGACCATTTTGGCCTGGCAGATACCAAGAAGCTACAAGCGCTTGCGGCGAAACCGCTGCAGAGATGCGCGGCTGCCGCTGGCACCAGAATCTCAAGGCTTGGGCACATGTGAGTGTTCTGGGCAATGTGAGATGGGAAGCTGCTTGAATGCCATCATGCTGGTGGAGTGCGGATCGAAAACTTGCAATTTCGGGGGCAATGCTGCGCTTTGCAGAAACCGGCAATTTGTGGAGGCACAAGCAGGAAAGCGTGAGCACTTGATAGAGGTATTTTGGACAGGGGCGACCAAGGGCTACGGTTTGCGGACACTTGTCCACATTGCCAAGGGGCAGCTGGTTGCCGAGTACATGGGGGAAATAGCACTCCAGTCGCGCATCAGTGACTGGCGCTATGTTATGTCATTGCCTCAAGGCTTAGCGATTGATGCTTCAAAGGCTGGCGGGCCTGCGCGATTCATCAATCACTCCTGCGAGCCCAACTGCGTGGCGCAGCGCTGGCTGGTGATGGGGCGCTGGCGCGTGGGCATCTTTGCAGCTCGCGAGATCCCGCCCTCCGAGGTTGGGCCAACCTTGAGGTGCTTCAGCCATTGTTTTTAGGCGTCCTCTAGGATTCTTGTCAAAGTGTGTGTTTTCCTAAGCCAATTTTGCCGAATCCTGAGGAGGTCACCTTCAGCTACACCAATGGTCGTGGTGGCAGCGGGCAGCGGGTGGACCCCTGCCGCTGTGGCTCAGCACTGTGCACGGGCCGCATCGGGCAGCCGCCTCGAAAGTCAAGAAGCGCACGGGAGCCTGGGACTGAAGGGACTGAAGTGAAGGCGGTGGCTCGGGAGTTGCTCAACGACGTTTGCATGGATGCGAAGGCAGACGCGGCTGAAACCATCCATTGCGATGTGCTTGCAGTGCCAGATGAGGACACAGAGGACGAGACTGAAATGCTTTCAAGCCTTGCTCTCTCTGCTCAGAAGACTTTTTTGGAGCAGTCTGATCAGAGCATGCACCTTGGTTGCCCTTGGATGTGACCTTCAACCTTTTGCCCTTTTGGACAATGACTCCCCACAAACCATCGAACAGCTCAACGTTTTGCATGGTGCTATCACCCACCCAGGCATGGTGCGCAATGCACAGAGTTTTGCCACAGCTTCTATGGGTCTCCGCCGGCGTGGCAGCACTCGCCCCAGCAGGCGAAGCAGCTGCTGGAGCAACAAAGAATTCCTGGCAGAACGGCACTCGAGGAGGGAGCGCGGTTGGGAATTTACTTGCCGTCACAACTGAAGATCGCCTACAGTGAAGCTCAATTGCTGAAGCAGTGATGTGCACTCTAGTTTCGTTTCACATGCGAAGCAGCCGGGGTGGCTATTGCACGACTGGAAACATGCGCCTGCGTTTGCATGCGCCTCTTTTGAGCTTGCTTCCCCGTCAAGCTGTTCCTGCTTGCATATGGTTTTGGCTGCAGATACGTGGTGTACTAATACAAATGCCCATGTATGAGCTAGCACCATCATCTCGGCATTTGCACAAGGCATTTGAGAAGGAGAGCCTGCCTTTTCCTGGGCATAAGGATCTTCTTTGCAGAAATTTACAGGCCCGCGGCAGTTTGGGCAATCAACCTCTGGAGCTGTTCAAGCTGTTGAGATCTCATCTGAAAGGCACTTGCAGATGCATTCTCTTGCGCTGGATGGCCCTCGCATCAAGGGCTCTTGATGGCACGCTACGCCCTGGCTCAGCTGGCAGCCAAGGATGAGACATGCTTACGCTGACTTGAGCGATGTGTTTCCAGCGAGTGCACCTATTCATTGATCCCTCCGAATGGCAATTCTGAATAAGAATATCCTCTAAAAGGGTTAGTAGACAACAGTCCAGTAAAGAGGCAATTGGGTGTGGCTCAAAATTCAAGACCCAGGGGTACAGGTTTTAGTCTACCTTTTCCATTTTCCAGGGTTCCATTGTGGGTCGATTCCTATTCTTGAGCCACAGCCAATGGACATTCGCACCCACGGACCCCTATGGACTCCTGCTCGCCGAGGCCACCAATTTGCACAAGCCACCGAGCAGGCTCGGCGCGTCTGCGACTGAGAGACCGGGGGAATTTAAGACGGCGCATTCAGAGCTGGCTTTCAGGCGCAAGCAAAGACATCCCAGCAAAAATTGAAGCTTCATGAACATCAGACAGGGCACGCGAGATGAACCCCAAGCAGAAATGTTGGCGCGCTTCGCATTACCCGCCTCGGGCCAGCAGTTCAAAGGTGTGGCTCAAAGTTAAACGCAGGGGTAAACTACAGGTTTTTGTCTGTGTTCCATTTAAAAACCAAGGTGCCATTGTACCATTTTTTGAGCCAAACAGATAATAGAATTGATTCTGAGGTTTGGTGGGCGATCCGCCAAAGGGTCGCTTGGCTGCAAGACGGGCTGCAATCGCATCGATATGTTTGTTGCCAGGGTCAAAACAACCACAAACTACTGAACAAGTTGTTTTTTTGCCAAACAACAGCTACAAAGATCTGCCCGTACAATACTCTTTTTTTGGGCCACTAAAAGTGCCACGTGTTGAGTATTACTCCATAGACCTCGAGTGAGTGGGGCTTTGGTCGTAGGATATGGCCACAGGTGTGTCCGAGGGTACCAACTTGGTGCTTTGGAATGATAGGAGTTGTTTTATATAAAGACCCCCCCCAAAAGGTCGCAAGTCTTTTTGGATGCCACATTTTTTTGCTGCGGTGCTTTGGGACGCCAAAAGGAATCCACGGATGGAGGTTCCATGAGATGGCTCAGGTTGTCGAGACCGGGGTCGGACCCTGCCTCAGTCGAGTTGTCTCAACACGGGCGGGTTTGTGTCACATGTCCCTCCCAAAATGGACCATAGGGAGGTTTCTCAAAGGAGTTGGTCCCCTAGAATGGCAAGGGTTTGAATGTGTGTCTTTTTTTAGTGTACCCCGCAAAATGATGGTTTGCCTTTTGGTTTCCCCTTGGAAAGCTGCAAAAAGGGGTACGTTCGGAAAAAGACCCCCCCCCCCCCCCCCCATATTATGGCTTTCCTTTTCATAGCAAAAGAGTTTGAGACACCTCAGACCGGATTTTGACGCGCCTCGGTTTGCTTGTGGCAGCGCAGGCTGCGAAACTTCAGCGTAGTGCGAGCTGCATCAGGCAAGGCCAAGACAGTGAGCAAAAGAGTCAACTGGCTATTTTGTAGCAGATCTTTGCACTTTAGCTTTTTGGTTGACACAGATGACTTTCTGTTGGACCCATAAACAGTTCAACCTTTTGCAGAGGGGTGAACAACATCCAAGAAGAGTCAAGTGACACCATGCCATGACCATAGATTTGGTACTGGCCATAAATGCCTTGAGGCTGAAGAAAACGTTTGCAAAGGACTCCTTGACTCCTCACTGACATGCGACCAGGCCACCGGGAAAAGCCGAAGCATGGAGCTTCGAGAAGACTAGGACGGGAAAGGGTCACGAGCGCTGTAGCTACCCAAAACCAACAGTTTGCGAAGATCGAAACCCATCCCAACGAACATGGAACCTAACTGGGGGTGTTCTAGAAGACTCAACGGCCATGGTGTCTCCATGTTCTCTGCCAAAGGTTTGTTTTAGTGGATGAACATCGAGGTTAAATCCGCCATTTTGGTTCCGCCCCATCCGCGTTTTTGGCGCATGCCCAAGCTTTTGACGACGAGACACCCCGTGTTTTTCATTTTTCTCGCGCCCCAGGGACTTGGTACATGGCTTAGCGCCATCCACCACAACAGTGAACTTGAAGGCGGAACAGCTGCAGCAGGAGGCCGGATCCAGAGCCTCCCAAAATGGATCCCAAGATCTGGCAATTTAACCTGCCAGGTTGGTGGTTTAGATTGCTTTGGATTTGCATTTGAACCCCTGGATCTTGCAGAGGCCCTCTCCTTAACCACCAAACCACCAAACCACCAATTGGAGGGAAGCTGAGAGGGTTATCTTGTGGAGGCGCCCGGCCTGGTTTCATAAAGTTTACCGTTAAGGCCACAAGACAGAACCTTCGAACTCCATAGTTTGTTTGGGCGCTAAAAAATTCTCAAGGCTCCGATTGGAAACTCTTTCGGGACATTTGTGGATTGCCATGTAGAAGTCTGTACCACAGTTGAGACGGATTTGGATGTGGATCAACAATAGGTACCCAACCAAGAACCTTGCCCCATACCAATCAGAATGTCAGTTAGCTTCAAAATTGCCTTCTGTACTCTTAGGAGGGTTTTTGAATACGGGACGTCAACCAAAGAACTCCAACACCTGAGAACAAAACATGAAGAACGATGCGGGACGTCCTAACGTCGCAATACACCCGAAACAAGGAATTTGACGCTGGCTCATATGGGGGTCCTGTCAACATAGGGGGAAAACATATCCAAAAAGGATACCCTCAGAAGCACATCCATATTCCGTAAACCCAGAGAGAGATGAGCTGTTCGACTCGCATGATTCGTTAGGCCAACGAAGCATCTCCTTTGTCGCCTAAGTCTCCAGCCTTGTCCAAGGTCGCGTCCTCGACCTCAGAATTTTAATATTATGGCTGACTCATGATTCGCCTTGTCCGCAGTGAACAAATTGGGATCTCCACATTCTTTTGGAGCACTGCAGCCACCAAGGCCATTTGGGGGATTCCTTCTTTTGGGGATGAGACATCAGCTTGGAAGCGCTCCTCTTTTCTCTTCAGGCAGACTCTCGGCGCCTCTCGGTCTCGGTGAAGGCGGACTCGCGGCGGATGTCCATCATGATGGCACCTGAGTTGAAGGCAGGATCCCGCCTCAAGCTCAATGAATCAGCCTGGTGCTTGTGGTTTGGATTTGATCTTTTCTGGTCCACTGGTTCTTGTGGGTAAGTGGAAAACCACCCCCAGGGAAGAGGGAAGCTGAAAGGATGGTCCTCAGACGACATGCTTGGAGAGCAGTTCCCTCTAGTGGAACCTGAGTGTCCGGAAAAACAATTTGAAAAGGAACCGCCCCTTTGCCGCTTTCGGGGGGTGGCCTTTTTTCTTTCAAAAGAAAGCCAGGGGAGCACCTGGGCTTGCTCTTTTGCGCAAAAGAGCTGGCAAATAAACCAACCACACTCCGTGGCTGAATTTACTGGACTTCCCTTGTTCCCTTGCAATATTGAGGTGGTCTATTCTCAATTAAACTAGTTTCATTTGTTACTCTATTTATCATTCTATTTACTGCTTTCTCAATGGATTGTTGTTGTTGATTTGTATAGATATTTTGTTTACCAGAATGATTCATATGAGGTATCCTTTTTAAATTTTGTCTGTTTGCCTCATTTATATCATGATTTGGTGCACAATTATCTACTGCTATTTGGACATAATTAAATGCATTATTGATATGATGTTTATCAATAAAAATATTATTTTGATTCATGCCACCGTAGGTCGCAGTGCGTGTGTGGTCAAATTATCCCACTTCTGGCTGGTGGCCGTCAACCCCGAGGGATTCTAGACAATACGATTCTGATTCAGGAAACCAAGACTGTGGCCCATATTGGGAGCCTTGTACACGTGTCACATCCTGCCAGGACATTTGGAGCCCTGAAGACGCCAGCAAGTCGTTCGACTTAGTCGAGTCGTCCTTGCAGGACACACACGAACATGAATACACGAGAGCGCATGAATTGCAGATCTGTCGATTTTCCACTGGGCCGGCTTGTCTAGTGTCAGCTGCGGCAGGCTTTGAAGAAAAATGTCCGCATGGAAGATGTCAATGAGGCCGGGAGATTCCGGCTGGCACTGTTTTCTGTGCCACGTGTTTGGGAGGACATGATGTCCCCGCACTCGCCAACCGCAGCGAAGAGAGCAGAGGCAGGGCTTAGGCTTTGGTCAAAACGAAAAGTGCAACTGACGACTTAGGAGCGGCGAAAGAAAGAGCTGGAAGCGAGGCGAAATCGCGAAAAGGCGCGCAACACCAAAGACCCAAGGCGCGACCATCAGCGTTTCGGCATGTGACTGAGGGGACCCCAAAACATGGTGGTTCTCCCTTTAGCTTCTTTTCTTTTGAAACCAAGGTGCAAAGGGTACCCAAGACAAAGACAGCGTGCTTGAACTTGCGGCCTGGATAGGCGTCGCGTTGCTGCAATGTTGCAGCAAGGCCGCGAATGGGGACAGGCCGGAGCTGGCCTGATCTGCTTTGCTTTTGACCTATGCTTGCGCGTGTCTTACTAGTATCTATATCGAGGTATTCTGGTATTCTGGATTGGCTAAAGCGAAATGACATGACATATACAATACTATATGGGTGTGTCTTTAAAGGGAAGCCAAGAGGACAACCATAATATATACATATATATATGTATATAAAATGTGTACATATAAATATATATATATATATATATATATGTGTATAT